CTCTTGCCAGTAAAGTGTAAATCATGAAATCCCCTGCAGAGATTTCTTGCTCTCTTTTCAGACATCTGAACAACAGGAAAATGTTGTTTTTAAATTTTATTGTGAAGGGTATACTTGTAAACTCTCCTATAGACCTGGTAGATTCCCTAAATATGCCTTATGTAAAAATGTGACTTGAAACTCTACCTGATATCAACCCTTTAAATACTTTAACGGATTAACTCTTGAGGAATGATTTTATTAATATTAAGAGGTTTGAGCTGCGGGTAAGTCTAGCAGATCAATTCTGCAACAGTTGGGCAATGTTACCGTACTGTGTTTCTGAAGCATGTCAGTAAACGCTGATGCCACTTTACACCCTTGTTCATGTTTAGGTTTTTTTACTGGCTATATTACAGTTTTCCCATATTTCGTTCCTTGTGTTTTTGGGGGTTTTGGTTTTGGGGGGGGGTTAATATTTTGGCCAGAAGGAGCTGTACATTTTTCTTTTGCCAAATACAGATGGACCAAAGCAAATTCTTTTTCACAGGTGCCAGTAACTTCAAGTGTAAAAGTTAATTTATTTCCAAAACTAAAAGATGTTTTGAATAAGTAATTTATGTGTATGCAACTACATAAATAACCTTTCCATAGCTGAAAACAGGCAAGTCTGCTGCTTTATGTACAGTGCTACTTTTGGCTGTCTTGTAAGAAAGCATTGCTAAGAGGACATGTCAGCCATAAGCAGTTAAAGCAAATACATCTACATGTGATATAAGAGAACAGTTTATGGATTAATATTCGGGTGCCTGGCAGGAAGCACATTGTGGTGGATTAGTATTCTTATCATTTGAGTGACAAATTATGAAAAGCTGATTTTTAATTTTAATGACCTGGATCCTAGACTTATGGGTTGGAGCCAGGAGATGTGTGGAAGTGATTTAAATCTCACCTTTCCACTTCCTTGCTCTAATCTCCTGGGCAAGAATAGAGCAGCAGCGAGGCTGCTTTATTTTATAGCTCTCTCTACTAGTCACAGGGGACTGAAAAGCAGCTGATACTGATAGTCTAGAGGGCTGTCCTGTTACCTGCCCCTTTTACAACTGCCCTGGCTAAAGCCAGGAGCTCAGGGATCCCTCTAGTTACTAGAGAGAAATAAAGGCTTTGCATCTCAATTAGACCAGCAGCTGCCTCTGTTTGCTCTCACTTGCCATCTGGAGGAGATGCGTGTCTCCTGGTTGACTCTGGATCTCCTGCTTGACTTAAGCACTTGCATTGGGCAGCAGAAATACTTCCCCAAGAGTTCCTGAGTAACAATTCCACCACAGGAATTTGTCTAAGCCATCTTCAGTATTGGATTTTATCTGCAGTATTGCTCAAGGCAGCTGCACTGTGTCCAGAGGACATGGCCTTGTGTATTTTAGGACATCTAGTAACTTAAACCAGATACTGACCTTGTGCAATTCCTATCTTCAGCGAAGAGAATGTTATTTGAAGTTCTGTTTGTTTTTTAAATTATACGTTGCACTCATGGCATGCTGGCATCGTGACAAATATGATTTAATCAAAAGGAATCTCTTCGAGAAAATGGCTTTGCAAAAGTGATGGCTTTGCAGTGTATTTTGGTAGGCATAAAGGTGGTATTTTTCTTCAACTCTAATAATTGTTCCTAAAATATATAGAAATAAAATAGTTCCTGAAGAGCAGAAAGTATGTATGTATCTCTGCATCTGACTTCTGCTTATAATTCATCATTAAAAACTTGCAAAAATCCTGCATGGGTAGGTGATGGATTTGGGGTGATCAAGAGTCCAGTTGTTGAAATGTGCGTTGGTAGGTTAAGTTCTCCCTTATTATTCCAGGGCAACACAACGCTTAGAGATGAATGTTGCTTCGTTGCCTTATCTCCATGACCCTGGATAGAGACAACAGTTTAACACCTAAATGGGAGACACACCGCTGTGGTGCTGCTTCTGTCTTGGGATACGTGATGCACCAGCTCAGCAGTGGGAGCTGAGTCACAGCTTCACCCTTCCCCTCTCCTGTTTTCCTGTCTAGAGTGACCTGATCCAGTGACACAGATCAAAATATGAGAAGATACAGAGGAAAATTAGTTATATTTTTGACTAGATCAGGTTGTTCTGTGGGTGCAGTTGGTTAGGTCAGCACAAGGGAAGCACTTGAGGTGTTTAACTAACTGTGGGCTCAGACTTGAAACACATTTTTTAGGAATTCTCATTTTAAGATGAAAAGGAAGAGCCCAATGGTGACAAAGTCCATGTCCAAAAGAAAAGGATGGCAAGGCATTCAGTGCAGTCCGTCCTGTGCTTCGGCAATTGCTCCCTTTGGTTCAAGGAGCCCAAATGCCTTGATGGGCAAGTGCCCTCCTTGACGTGGGGCTGGAGGAAGGCTTGGAGTAAGGAGCTTTGTTTGTGGATGCATTAATTGTGTGCTAAATAAAAAGGACTTGTGGGTGGTAAATATTTATTATTATTAGAAGTCTTTGGCAGCTGGCCAGAAACCAGTATTTCTTCCTGTGAAAGCTATTTCTCCAAGGTGGATCACATAAGGTGAAAGCCTGTCTGTGGTATCCAGCTTGCATTTCCCCTGAAGCTGTGGCTGACCTCCATGAGGCCTCAGGAACATGGTATTAGGTGGCTCATGATGTCAGCAGTTTGCAAGATTGAACAGCTTATAAGGGCCTGGTTTTATTTTTATTATTATTTAATTTTTGTTAAATATCATCTTAGCAAAATTTGATTCTAGTGGGAAGAGCTGGGTTTATCAGTGGTCACCCAACCTGTTTCCTGTTTACCAAAACAGGAGATTTACATTTTTTTCTCTCATTTCAAGTCTTGGACATCATGTTCATTGAAAAAAAATTAGATGGAACAAGCGTTTTTTTTTTTTTTAATGAGTTGGTGCTAGCAAATTTGATTCAAAGATGAAGACAAGAAACGTGTTGTATATAGGGGTAAAGTAGATAAAGTAATTTGGTGCAAATGCCCCATTATTTCATTCAAAGTTATTCATACAACTGAAGGCTGCATGTAAGCCTTAATTATCTTTTCCTACTTCATTAATTCCTTGCTTAATGCAGCATGCTTAGACACACACATGCATACCCAGGGTCTTTCCTTCCACCCTTGCTGCTTTTACCCAGGTGAATGCCACAAGCGCATCCACACCTGCAGGGACAGCAGTTCATCCAGCTGTGCTTCAGCAGTTACAGGCGTCGTGTTTCAGGATGCGTCTGTCATCCTCACCGTGCCAACCCCTGATCCTTGTGATGGGACCTGGGGACGGAGCAGCAGTAATGGCACTCTGGTATTTGGACCATGTTGCTTTGACACTCCTGAGTGTTAACATGGTCATGCACTTTTCAAGCTCCTTGTAACGGTACTTCTGATATCGCCAAAGGATACTGTTTGGCTAAAGTGCTGATGAAGAGGCCACTAAGCTGTAAGAGTTTAATGACAGCTTGTCTTGTTGGTCAGACTCACTAAAAGGATTTGGATGAGCTGAAAACAAATACAAAGCAGCGTGCCAAGGGCTCTGGGCACTGCTGCCAGCTAAGCGCACTTAAATACTAAGTGCAGTGAAAAACCTAAAATAAAAGTCTCAGTTTTAGGGGCAGTGGATATCTCTGGAATCCCTAGAAAGTCACAAACTTGTAAGTGGTCAAGGAAATAGCAACATGTCATCTCTTGAGCGCTTAAGAGCAGAGCCCGCACGGCAGGTTGTTAATCTGAGGGGACAAATCAGTGCTGATTGAAGTCTGTGAGTCTTTGCATTCTCCATCCTGAAAACATGTTTCTGAAGTGACAGGTATCAACATTTTGTTTGCAATTAGCTCCTGTTCTCATCCCTGTACACAGCAACGGACTTCTAAACACTGGCTAGTAAGAAGAATGTATCTTTTGTGGGAGCTTTTTAAAAAAAAAAAAAAAAATTAAACTGTGGCAGCTGCTTTACCTAGGACACCTTTCTTGGGTTTGCTGGGTCATGACCATTTGGGGTTTGTTTAGCTGCCCTTCTCTGTCTGTAAGTAACATTGTTCAGGCTTGCATCAATCTTGTTTTTAATTAGAATCCTCTTTGAAATGGAAAATATTAAAGCAGATCTATAGCTAGACTGGGAACTGCAGAGCCACAGGGTTTTCAGATACTGCTGTAAAAAAAAAAAAAGCCATTTCTAATCCTTAAAATATTTGCCTTGCTTTATTTTCATATCTTGAAGACAAACAGGTGCTGTGTGCCCTTTATGATTCTCAAATATACAATCTCCAAGCCAGCAATCTCTAAATCCTTCCCTTGTTTGTACAATTAGGGTGGGATTTTCAGAATCACTCAGTGTTGGTCTGTCTCTACTCTCATTGAAGTCAAACTGCCATTGACTTCAGTGAGAATAGTGTTAGATCAGTACATGAGCGCTTTTGAAAATCCTTCCCTTCGCTTTTTTTTCAGTCACATCTGTGTACAATTGAATAAAAAGACCTTTGTAATATACTTTAATTATTCTTTGTTGGTTTCATATAAAAGTGATTGAAAGGAAACCAGAAGAAAACCTATAATAATAATCTTGACTTTGATCTTATTTACCATAAGTTATATCTTATGTTTTTCTTCTCCTTTTATGTAATTATATATTACTTTATCACAATGTAAGATAAATTACTGAAAACATCAGGAGTAGAAATAATTAGTTAATATGGAAGGGAAAAGCACTCACTAAGGAAGGAACTCAGCTCTTTGTGGTCTGATGGGTTTCCAGTGCTGCTTACAGCAACTTCCCTTTGAGTGCATGAGAAAATCAGGAGACCTTACGTGAAGAGCTAGTGCTAAAACCTGATAAATTTGGAGGCCAGATGGCCAGCTGTGAGGAATGGCTTTCTGGATGTCACCTTCCCAGGAAACCTCAGGTTATTCTCCAGGTATCCAGACTCCGCTCTGCCACCGTGCTCTCCACCTGGTTTTGGTCCACCTGCTCCCCCCTGATTCATGTGCCTTTCTGTTTTCCAGCGTGTGTTTCAGTGATGTTTCTGGTTAACTGCTTGCTCTTTGGCAATACCGAAGAAGACCAAAGAGGATCAGAGCTTACTGTAGCACAGGGGAAATCAGAGAACCCCAGAAGCATCTCATGCGACGAGACCGGTATTTGCAAGACTGGCCTTATACAGCCCAGTTTCACCCTTGGCTGTAGGCATTCAGTGAAGTGCTCAAATGGGGAGTCCAGTTGTACTGGTCGTTACTTGCATTGTGTTAAAAATGTTTGCTTGGGTCTCTGGCAAGAGATTTTAGCTGAGGAGAGGCTTTGGCCACCACCTGCACTCATCCCCGTAGCTCGTCTCCACCTCCCCAGTGTAGTGCAAGACGTGGAGGATTTTGGACACCAACAGCACTTCAGTGCAGGAGGAGGTGACTGCTCTTTGGCAACAGCCTCATCTTATTCACTTATCAGTGCCATAGTTTCACCTGAACCACCCTTCACGGAGTCTTTGGAGAGAAACAAATACAGGCAGAGGGCAATTCTGCTGCCAAAGAGCACATGGAAGCCTGCTCAGATGCAGGGATGGTTTTGCGATGGGAAGACCTCCTAGTTGCCTTGAATTAAATTGTCTTTTAATAGCAGGGTTCTGCTCTGTCTTTAGATTCCTGGGATTATCGGTTCTGATGTAGATATGTGTTTAGCATTAAAGTAAAATGTTATGTCAATATGTGGAAGGCTGGTTGCCTGTTTCAGCTGCTGCTGTTTCCACCATGTGTCACAGATTAGAGCTGGCCCTGGATGGGGGCCAGGCTGGTGCTTGCTACGCTCTAAATCCAAAGTGTATACGAGAGCCGTTTACCAGCCTAAGTGTGGGTGATCCATCTGATAAACTCTATGACGTGTTGTTCCTCTTAATGCACTCTTCTTACATTTTTGTGTGAACAGGAGTAAAGCTATTGAACTGTCATAATTCAGTAGTTAAAATCTCTCCCACAGGAATGACCGTGGATGGCAAACACAGCATGTGCTCAGGACTTTCCATCTGCTCTGCTGGCTTAATGAACTGCAAATAGTCAGGCCAGTGTCTTTAAAAACTTAATAGGTGGTGTCAGTGCTTAACTGATGATATGGA